TTAGTGCTTCATGTGTGGATGATCAGTCATGGGTGATCACAAATAATGGTGCAGTTAGTTGCACATAAATTGTCAAGTAGTGTCAGATTTGCGTGACTGGGAGGAAGTTTAAGCATTGACTCCGAACGCACGTTGGGATTAATCATCCTCGTAGATATAACATTGCACAAGCAACTTGGATGAAGCAGTAGGCAACCGAGAAACTGACAAGTTGTGAGCGCATTTGAGAAGGTATGCAGTGGTGCAGACAACAGCTTGAAACGTCAACGAAGGGAGCACTTTGGCCTAGAGCTGGAGCGGTGAGTCTCAGGCAGTCTTGATGCTTGAGCTACGACCGAAGTGAATAAATCAGCCACTTGCAAACCATTAAAGGGCCAAGATTGCACTTTAGCGAAGAAGCACAGTGTCATAACCACCGATTGTAACGAGTGTGGTATGAAAGTTTCAAGTGTAGGTAGTGGGTAACGGGAGAGGCAGGAGAAGTAGAAACAAACCAGATCGAGGTCGACTTTGTAATGTGAAAATCAAAGCAGGCCAGATCATCAGGACTCCATGCAACCACTACACCAACAAGCCAAAACACTACACATCGCGACAACCCATCAGTCTAGCCTGCATTCCTTACCCCTGCCATTTTTGCCACTAGGAAGAGGAGAGAGGCATTTGTGGATGATGTGGTAGTTTTGTGTCAGCCACCTCGCACATCAATCATATGTAGGATGATGTATTCTCCTCTTGACTTGAGAGAGGAGGAAGGAGAATCAACGAGTCTTGCTTTTTCATTCTACGAAATATGTTGTTTCATGTGTCTGCTACTTTCTTCGTACCTTGGGAAAGGGGAAAATTATGGAACAGCAAGAACACTGGGTAAATTAAGGTCAAGTAAATTCTTACGAACCGAGTTGATGGAAGGAGTTTGGTGAGCAGCGACACTGAAATCGCCGACTGAACTATTGGGTTGAAAGGCACATTTAGCAATGAGACGATTGTCTAATGGCGCTCATTTTATTGCGCGACGATATCTACATGGAGTATCATGATGATGGTAGTAGACGGAAGTAATTATATGAATAATTGAATGCAATGCCAAAGGGACATGCCAAATGCCAGAAAATGGCAGTCATTTATCATCAAGGAAGTAATGTGCGGTTACATTTGATGGTGAAGAGGAATGTACAAATGTCAACACACATCTCTGCCGTGTTACAGTTTTAGCGGTGGTTGTACGTGGCTTTAATCCCTACATTACAGCTTCCACATACTGCCAATGTCACCGCCGACTCAATGTCACCCGTACTACCTCGGAAGACTGACGTTTCAGTAGCATAGCACACACACCATTCCACCACCTCAAGTGACTCAGCTCTTCTCTCTGCTTGTAATGCAGCTCTTTACAGACCCGTGTGATCGATGACTCCTCCAATGACAAGTCGGACGCTGCATCAGTAGCAGTGAGGTGGAGTGTGACCCACGTCCTTCAATCCCGTCTAGGGAGTGGCTGTCTTTGCTAGGGAGTGAAACAAGGATTGATCATCCCTCCAAAAGTGCCACACACGGAAGGTGTTTGCAGTGGATGAATAAAAGTTGGAGAAAGAGAAGGGTGGGCGAAGAAGAACAAACTAGTTGACATTAACTATTTGTCCGTTAATCCTTATTCAGTGTAAGTTAAAAGGCGAGAACTGGATGAGCCGAAAAGCTGCACTTGGTAACCCTCTATGCTGGTACTGCAAATAAGTGACAAGTGAATCACGTTTGAAAAGGCAGTGCATTCTCATTATTGCAAGACACTGGGAATGGTTCAAGCAGAAAGCTGGGTGGATTCAAAGTAGCACAAGGGGTGAGTGGAATGGTTTTTATTTTGTAGACTTTTTTTCAAAAGTAGAAGGTTCCCTTCGCAGCATAATTATAAAACTAGTTGTTTTATTATGCAGACCAATCAACAGTGGGGTAAGAGGAGAAATTCCAAATGACGTTTATAACTCGCGTTTGTTAGAAGTAGGATAGGTAGACGTAAAGTGGTCAATTTTGAATTTCCGCACAAGAAGAAGGAGCAGTTTGATGTGAATGTGTTCAGTAATTCAACTGGAGCTTTTTCACAGCTTGGCCATCACCAGGGTATTGGTTTAAGTCTGTCACTCGCTTTCGCTCTCTCTCTCTCTCACGCATGTTTCATTTTCAACTTATCGAAAGGGTGATCATGCAGGCTGTCGTCACTCATGCCCTCACCGGCCATAAACGTTATATCTGCTCAGATGGATTAATTACAATATGGAATAGTTTAGCGTGAACGCCTGAATTCTTTGCAAAAAAGTGCCACGAAAGTGCTTAGAAAAAACGAAAACAGACAGTTACCATAAAAGGAATAGCTGCAATGCTTGATGGAAAGGTACA